CCAGGAGTTGGACATTGCTGTGAGCTGTGATGCCATGGCACTCTACCCAGGGGTATAGCTTGAGGTTCTGTCTCAAAAAAAAAAAAAAAACCCAAAACTGGTGAATCTAGGGAAAAGTATGAGTTAATTGTACTATTCTTGTAACCTATGTTTTTAAAAATACCCAACATAGACCAGGCGAGGTGGTTCATGCCTGTAATCCTAGCACTGGGAGGCCAAGGCAGGCAGACTGCCTAAGCTCACAGGTTCAAGATCAGCCTGAGCCAGAGCGAGACCTGGTCTCTAAAAACAGCCGGGCATGGGTGGTGCCTGTGGCTCAAAGGAGTAAGGTGCCAGCCCCATATGCCGGAGGTGGCAGGTTCAAACCCAGCCCTGGCCAAAAACTGCAGAAAAGAAAAAATCTGTTTAAAAACAGCCAGGCTGCTTGGTGCCTATGGCTCAAGTGGCTAAGGTGTCAGCCACATACACCTAAGGTGGTGGGTTCGAATCCGGCCTGGGCCCACCAAACAACGACAACTGCAACCAAAAAATAGCTGGGCATTGTGGTGGCCGCCTGTGGTCCCAGCTACTTGGGAGGCTGAGGCAAGAGAATCGCTTGAGCTCGAGTTCAAGGTTGCTGTGAGTTTATGACGCTATGGCACTCTACTGAGGGCAACAAGTGAGACTGTCTCAAAAAATAAATATATGAAGTAAAAATAAAAGAGTGTATGATAACTACACTGAACTTTAGGAAGACAGTTTTTCTAAGTGTGGTAAAAACCACACATAACATAAAACTTACCACCTTAACAATTTTTTTTTTTGTTTTGAGACAGAGTCTCAAGTTGTTGCCCTGAGTAGAGTGCTGTGACATCACAGCTCATAGCAACCTCTTAACTCCTGGGCACAAATGATTCTCTTGCCTCAGTCTCCCAAGTAGCTGGGAGTACAGGCACTCACCACAACACCCAAGTATTTTTTGGTTGTAGTTGTCATTATTGTTTGGCAGGCCCAGGCTGGGTTCGAACCTGCCAGCTCTGATGTACGTGGCTAGGGCCCTAACTGCTGAGCTACAGGCGCCAAGCCCACCTTAACAATTTTTAAGTGTACTATTAGTAAGGAGTTATTTTTGCAAAATTAGCAGCAACTAGGAATAAACTTCACACATTTGTTTTCCTTTATTTTTTTTTTTTTCCAGAAATAGGGTCTCACTATGTTGCCTGGGCTGGGACTGAACTCCTGGGCTCAAGTGATCCTCCTGCCTCAGCCTCCCAAATAGCTGGGAGTACAGACCTATAACACTGCACACAGTTTGAAACCTTTACTTTAAATAATAATCTAAGCATAAACCACAAGACATGTATAATTCCTGTATTTTGCCATAGCACATTAAGAGCACTCAGCATCAGCTAAAAAATCTAAAGTCAGCATCATAGATAGGATTTGAATTACAATCAAAATGTAAATATCTGAGGGATCGGCTGAAACGGATAATTAATTTTTTGGCTATTCTAAACACACAAAAAAAATGTACCACGTCCTAAAAAAACACTTAAAATCATACTAAACCAGGGTGGCTCAAAGGAGTAGGACACTGGCCCCATATGCTGAAGGTGACAGGTTCAAACCCAAGTCCAGCCAAAAACTGAAAAAAAAAAAATCATACTAAACCAGGTACCTATATTCCAGTATCCTGAAGTATCCAGTTTTTACCAAAGTCACCATATGAAAATTATCAGGCTCAGTGCCTGTTTCTCAGTGGTTAGGGTGCCGGCCACATACACCAGGGCTGGTGTATGCTAAACAACGACAACTACAACAACAACAAAAAATAGCTGGGCCTTATGGCAGGCACCTATAGTCCCAGGAACGTGGGAGGCTGAGGCAAGAGAATCACTTAAACCCAAGAGTTTGAGGGGCAGTGCCTGTGGCCCAGTGGGTAGGATGCTGGCCCCATATACCGAGGGTGTCAGGTTCAAACCTGGTCCTGGCCAAACTGCAACAATAAAATACCTGGGCATTGTGGCAGGACTACACTAGCTACTTGGGAGGCTGAGGCAAAAGAATCACCTAAGCCCAGGAGTTGGAGGTTGCTTGGGCCATAAGAGAGAGACTCTGTCTCTACCAAAAAAAACAAAAAAAAAAAAAACAAAAACAGTTTGAGGTTGCTGTGAGGGTGACATAGTGAGACTCTTCTCTCATTTATAAATGAGGAAATTTTATCAAAGTAAAAGATTTCCCTAAGCTAAGCTAAAAATTATACCCTCTCCACTGTTCCATTTAATTTTCAGATATTGTTTCTATTGTTTTCTTTCCTCCTATTCTTGGTAGGTCATGATGGGTGAGGCACATATACATACATCCTACACACAAACACACATACACCCCAACAGGCATCCTTCTTCCCTTTCCCTTCACCTTGAACACCAGAAGCTCCCTCATTTCTCCCTGGATGAGGAGTAACATCCTGAACTCCAGTTGATGGCTCATCTTGTTGACCTTGTTCATCATCAGGCTCAGGCTGCTGGGTTTAGTAGGGGGTGTGCGTGGTGGGGGCATGCAAATAAAAATTTTTCATTATTAGTACATGTCAATAAAATATACAGAATATATGGATATTTCTGATCATTAGAATGCCTAAAGATACTTCTCCAACACTATTCTATTTACTTATTCTTTTTATTTTTTTGACCGGGGCTGAGTTTGAATCCACCACCTCCGGTATATGGGGCCAGTGCCCTACTCCTTTAAGCCACAGGCGCTGCCCTATTTACTTATTCTTAATAAAGTTACTCTTCCCACAGAGCGGCTACTCTGAGAAAAAAAGTTACCTACTACGAGTCTAGAAGCTATTTTAATCTATGTTGGGATAGATGCGTATAATCTGTCATTGACAGGCATGAGAGAGAAGTCATAGGCAAAATCTGGAAAACTTAAAACGTAATACTCCTAGATCAATGTTTCTATCATAAGATTCCATTAACAACTTTTATCTGCATGGAAGACCTTTACCAGTTTATCTATACTAGGTCAAGAACACGATCACAAAAAGGCACTCACAATCACAGGCATAACCAGATGAGAAGATGGTTGATCATTTCTTCTTCCTCTAGGCCTGTATGTTGATCTTCCTCGGAAACTCATATTTCACACTGAAAGCAGAATAATGTGATTTGGAAAATGCAAAGAGGAAAGCTATACTTGGCCAGGTGTGGTGGCTCACACCTGTAATCCTAGCACTCTGGGAGGCCAAGGTGGGTGAATTGCTTGAGCTCGGGAGTTCAAGAGCACCCTGAGCAACAGCGAGACCCTGTCTCTAAACAATAGCCAGGCACTGTGGCAGGAACCTATAGTCCCAGATACTCTGGAGGCTGAGGCAAGAGGATCACTTGAGCCTAAGAGTTTGAGGTTGCTGTGAGCAATAACACCACAGCACTCTACTGAGGGCAACAAAGTGAGACTCTGTCTTGAAAAAAATAATAATTAATTTAAAAAGAGAACAGCTATACTTGACCACTTGTTTGGCTAAATATTAACTTCTATTTTTAATTCTGAAAATAATTCCCAAGATAAATATGAGCATGTATCTCTACCCAGTGCTTGCAAAGCCATTTAAATTGGCCAAGCTGGCAGAGTAATCATCTAAAACAGTGATTTTCAAGTGGTGTGCCTTTAGAGGATCATAGGTGTGCTGCAAAAAAATTTTAAAGATCATTAATTAAATTATTTTTGAAAGAAGTTTAAAGCACAGTAAGTATATTCTTTAACTCTTTTTTTTTGGATCAATATAATTTAAGCGTGCAGTGGAAATTTAACTATAGTTTCAAGTATGTGGTGAGATAAAAAAAACTGAACACTGATCTAAAAGCTCATGGCAAAAGATCTTTTCTTCTTTTCCCTTTTCCCCTTTTTCTTTTTCCTGAGAAAGGTCTCTGCAGCCCAGGCTGGAGCGCAGAGTGACACAATCACAGCTCACTATAAAGTTCAACTCCTAGTCTCAGGCAATCCTCCTACCTCAGCTTCCTTCCTTCCTCAGCTGTAACTAAATACATTGCCATCATGCCTAGCTAATTATTATTATTATTATTATTATTAGAGATGGGGTCTGGTTGTGTTGCCTAGCTTGGTCTCAATTTGGCCTCAATCCATCCTCCTACCTCAGCTTCCCCAAATGCCGGGATTACAGATGCAAGCCACTATGCCCAGCATACAGAGGAAATTTCTGACTTAAGTTTAATTTCACAACTAGACTCTCCATCACAGACACCTTAGGGAAAATACAGCTAGAAAATTAAAACTATAGTGCAGGGGTCCTCAAACTTTTTAAACAGGGGGCCAGTTCACTGTCCCTCAGACTGCAGGAGGGCAGGACTGCAGGCCCCGGACAAGTTGGCTGCTAAGCAGGACAGGAGGCGCCGGCAAAATACTCTTTTTTTTTTTTTTTTT